TGTACTCAAAGTTCCTGCTGTTGATCAAAGGGAAGAAACATCTTTTATTTGCACCATGTTGACCAGGAGCGCCACGATCTTTGCAAGCTCCTGTGGCTTAATGAGCCTTATCATGATCCTTGATCGACGAAATTGATCAGGATACGGCCCTGATTATCCGAGACTGTATATGGATATTTTGCCGTAAGTAAGTTCAATGTAGCAAACTCTGTTGATAGTTTGCTCACAAGGCAACGCGACATACTTAGCTAGCTGTTTTCTAATTTTGTATCCTGCAGAACTAGAGCGCTCCGATATACGCTACGTCTTGTACGTACTCCTCCTAAACAGGCCTGAAGAGCCACTTCTGTATATCTTCCGTATCTAGTGAGCTGATTACAAGTCGTAGAACAGGAGAAGTCTCAGCACCTTTGAGTATATGTAGAGAGCTTCTTCCTCATCTGTTGAGCGATGATCTTCCAGCAAAGAAGGCTATGTCTTGTTGGACGAAGGCAGGACTGTTGCGTTCTGATCACAGAGTGAGGTGGCGTCGAAGACTTTCGGTTTTCGTCGTTGAAGTTGCCCCCACAAGAGCCCTCCACTGGGCGTCAGGTCTATCTCATCGCCAATCACACATTTAGATTCATCATTTCACATTGACAAGGCGCGAAATTCTGAGTCTAGATTGAAATACTCCTCCTTGTTGCTCGCTGAGCCCGAAGGGATCTATTTACTCTGTACTAAAGTTTTATTGCTTGTAAGGCGTTCTGCAATCAGGCTTGCAGAGATCTAACTACTTGATTGGCTCGGATCTCCGTGACTTGGTTAATGCAGTCATCCGATGTCCTAACCACGCGGACTTCAAACCCGTGTCAGACTTCGGACGCCTCATCTGGAGACACACAATGTCTCCAGAGACCAAAGCGAATTAAGATAGCTGTAGTGATGATTCCAATGCAGAGTTGAGAATGGATAGTCATAGAGTACGACACATTTGTCGTAATTATTCATTCGCGCGAAAGGTTCGAACAAATCGAACGTGCGCACGTCTGAGAGGACTACCGCCGTAGGCTGAAAGTAAATGACCAACAGGATACTTAATGTGTCAAGGCAAGGTTAATAACATCGAGTGCAAGGCCATTGAAAGCAACCAACATGTACACGAATAGATATTTGACCGCGACTGTGATAGAGCATCTGGCCTTAGCGATGGGTTTCTTCACCGTTGATGGCTTGACCCTTACAGTAGTAACAGGAGGGTGCAGGTACCCACCAGGTTTACGGTGAAGCAGATCATGGACGTGGCTCACGCAGAAGTGCTCGTCCACCCAAGACATTGAATTTGACTCGTCCTGAGGCACCAAAACACCCTACTCTGGAGCAATGCAAAGTGCTGCCTATGACTCTGCATCCAAAATTCAATCGAAAGCGGCCTCCAAAATCGTCAGACGTATTCACAGCCTTAATCACGCAAAGCGCGACTATTTGAGATTCCCTCTAATCGTGCGAGCCAGCGTTAAGTCCAAATAGTACGACAGGGCTTATACACGCCACAACATGATTCCCTGAGGCTGCGACCGCGCTGTACCACAAGCTTTTAAAGATGTTCAAAAGCTACTTTTATTTAGAGCATTTCGCCCGACAATTACTGCATCGTTTACCTTGATTTTTGCGACTGAAATCTTCACATGCAAGGGAGGTTTGTTTCCAAAATCGCACCATGGCTATCAATAACTTGAAACCAATGACGGGCGAATTAGTCAACGATCGCAAGACGAACCAGCCAGATCGTTCATGTAGACAGATGAAAGCTATAATATATATGCTCGTTAAGATAGCGTTTTCAGGGTTTCGTCATCGCCCCGGAGATCATTCCTTTTCCTTAACGAAGCGCTTGAAATTGGAAGAAACAAGCTTCGCTGAATGATGGTACTCATGTGCTGTAGACAGCTGCACGGTGGGCCGCCAAGCGCGCTTGATATATTGGCCAAATGTCTCGTCGAGAATCATCAGCAGCATAGTGTTGGAGTCAGACACTCCCGGACCCGAGAGAGCTCAAATCTTGCGAATTTTACGTGCATTAGGGTCAAGCGGACCTAATGCCGGCCCTTGAGCTAACTTACCAATGCTATATGACCTAGCAGCTCCAATCACCGCAAAGGTTTCTCTCAATGCTCTTCGGCATGTTCTCTAATAGATATCATGTCTCATATCATTCACTAAATGCTAACATCGACCGAAGACCAAGCCAGCTTTTGTTCTGAATATATGCCTCCCAAATCCAATCGCTTAGATCAGGGACTCTCTCTTTCACACTGCCCACAATCGCCTGTCTCACCATAGAAGTCGGTGGCTTTTAACACAAGTCAGAAGGATTTCGAAGGATTCTGTAACTCAATACATATAGCCCGTTCATTCCTTCGCCTTGAACGTGTTAGACGATTTGAAATAAGTGGCACTACCCTTGACATGGCTGCAAGCATCTTAGACTATGGTTTAGGATGAGACTTGCTATATTAGGAATACACGATCGCAAGGGCGATAGGAATGAGGAATTCGTGGGCGAAAAAGGCATATTTGATACGGATAATTATAACGTGGTCGCAGGTGGTTCCAATTGTTAAACGATTAAATGTTGTACATAAAACCATAATGATTGAAGGAGAGGCAAGGGTAGGATATGGATGTGCGTTAGAAATAAACAAAAATGTTAAGTGGCTGCGGCGGAGGGAAGTGGGGAAGGTAGAAAAGTGGTAGGTGAAGACGAGAACTTGCTTGTAAGGTCATATCGTTTGATTTGGAAGCCCGTTAAACAAAGAACAGAAATTATACAAGGCGATAGTGTCTTCTGCATCCCTCTTCCTTTCCCTCCCCTTCGGGCAGTCATTGGTCCTCTCACGCTTCGCCCGCAGCCGTACTTGCCTAGCTATCATTGATCGTACTCGCGTCCGCATAACTATACCTAATATCTACCATTCATTTAGCCTCCTTCGCGTAATCTTCTTACATCAACTCGCCAATAGCTCCTAGTCGCGCAAGCTCCATCGCTAAGGTAGTTATTTATATTCCTTCTTAATCTTTCTGAAGTAAGAAAACGCAAACAGCCTTGCCGACGCCCGTCTTAAGCCTGCAATTGTCTTAAAGGAGGAAAGAAGAAAGGAAAAGCAGGCAGACATAATGATCAGCGAAACCAGGCACGTTTAGCAGTCTGTCACTTGGAAAATGATAGAAAGCCCACTCATTTTAACGCGAGGAGTCTTGAAAGCAAAACATCAAACGCGGCGAAGCAGTGATAAACAATTAGCAAACGTGTTACGCCATTTTACCCCCGCATCATTATCGTTATGTAGTGGTGGTGTATCTCTTGCATTACTACAATTACCCCTCATAACGTAAATCTAAGTATTCACATCCTCAAATGTTTTTGCACAATTTTCAAGAGAGTTGTCAATAGGAAAAGACGCATTGTATTCATACCCGCCGACATTTCAAGATGTCGAGTATGAGGCAGGACTAATTCTTGGGGAAAAGGGGCGAAAAGGGGCAAAAAGGGGCGTGCGGGTCTTGGCGTCCTACTCTTAGAACGGCGAGTCCTACCCGGAAAGATCTCCCGCAATTTTCGCGTGACGAGATAATTGTTCGAATGCGCACCTCACGACACTTGTATAGCACGATACCAGAGCATCGAAAGCGGCTACTCAAGCATTCCTGACTATCGTGCGATTATCATGAGCTTCTAATCTGACTTGATGCTATCGGTGTGTCCTGATGAACGGATTGGCTTGGCGCATGCTACGCGAGGACTTGATGCGTATCGATTGACATCAACATCATAGCGAGCTAAATTTGTCTCAAAAGCCTGAACAGATCCCAAAGACGTCTCTCCGTCTCCCAACTACCATTCAAGACCCTACGAGCCCAAATCCTCCCATCTCATCAATACCATCACTCCCCCAACCGCTTAACTTCAACCAACCTGCATCTCCGAACGTCTGCTCATCATTCCCATCGAAGTATCATCACACTCATCTTGAAACTCATCCTCCAGCAATGGCGACTTCGCATGGTCAACCAGACGAGCGGGAGACAGCAAGCTCGCACGACTCTTCCGCACCATTTTCAGCATCGCATGAGGGACTTGCGCCACAGTCTCCATCAGAGCAGCCATCGCCGACCAGTCCCCAAGATTCGAGAAGCATTCACGCATGTACGACCTCGAAATCAGATGGCAACTCCCCCGCTGAAGTGAATGGATCCGACCCCGCCAAGCCAACTTCGCATTCACTCTCTCGCCAGGCTTCATCACCGACTTTTCAGTCTTTGCTCGTTCATCCTTCGTCATCTACCTCCACTGTCGTATCCGATGCTGCTCAGTCATCAGTAGCTGTCTCTTCAACTGTTGAGGCCATATTTTCGACTCCATCATCATCTCTAGATCATCTGAAACCTCTGTTCGACCCTCAATGGTCACTTGGGCCGCTTTCCACACGTGAAATATCGCCTCCTTCTACACCGACAGTACCATCAATATCCTCAGAATCTCTTGCCACCACCCAACCTGCCATCGACTCTTCAGACTCTCCAGCAATAGAGCACCGGTTACTTCCAGCCAGTTCACCCAGCAAGCGAAGAAGAATCTCAAGGTCAAACCAGACAATAAGAATAATAAACGCCACAGTGAGAGCTATCGAAGCCGAAAGCACAAACAATCCAGAGTAAGGCAATGACAGTCGATGTTGAGGTCTAAGCTAATATGTTGTCGTGTCAGACTTGCACATGATAACGATCTTGCGCGTCCCTTCACGAAATTGGATATAGGATACCTAGTGGCTGCTACGAGATCGGATTACAGACAATTCTTGAAGGTCGGGCAACTTACACTCGCAAAGCGATACAAGACTCAGTATTACAAATCCGGAGTCTTCATCAAGATGCCGTCACCTCTTCATGAGCGCTTAGTTGGCGCTTGCACCACACTCGCAAATCAAGTGGAAGCAGAAGTGGCAAAAAGGGGTTGGAAAATGCCTGACGGATCTACAATTGAAACGGTCGCTGGCGGTGGGCGTGAGTTACTTTCCTATTGGTAAAGTCTTGTCCTCAGCTGACAGACTCTATCACATAGTAACCCCTTTCACGTCCAACAAACAGATGCATATGTTCGACCCTGACGCCGCCATAACGCTGATTGACGCGCACAAGAACAAACCTTTCATGCTGTTCGAAGTCGCAACTTCTCAGACCGCAATTAATCTCCAGCGTAAAGTCAAGGACTACCTCAATGGTTCTCACGGTTGGACCACCTTGATCTTCACAATGAATGTCGAGCAGGATGAAGTCCCTGATCGCAACCCAATCATGCAAGACTTCAATTTCGAAGTCGAAGTTAGTAGAACCTGGCGCCCGAACATTGGACCAGATGAGCGTTACACGCCAGAGCCAGTTCGTTTCTACCAAGCAACCCGGCGCTTCGATCCTGATCAGCAAGATGAACCAGGTTTCCCCGGCAGCATCAGGGTCTATCGGCAGGATTTGTGGGCCCGACGCAAGACAGATCCCCCGCCTGGAGACCTCATCACCATTGAGATGTCCTCTTTTGGGAAGGATGCCAAAAAAGCGCTCAAATTCGCGCTCATTGACATGGTCCATTCGGCTCGCACCTCGATCGATTCGAAGCAAGATGATATTGACACAGCTTCAAGCGAGGGAAGCGGTCCAGCTGCACCACCAGACAGCCCTGTTGATGATAAGAAAGTCGATAAGACTTTCAAAGGTGGGGCTCGCCCAAGCAATGTGCAAGATGGTCTTGCCAGGAAAACTAGAAGCAAAGGACCAGTGGATTAGAGAGAATAACAATCATAAGCGCAGGAGGCAAGAGAACAATAGACGAGCAGCTGCAAGAGGCAGCTTAACTGCATATGACTAGTAAGAGAGGCTGCCAAAGCATGACATCAACGGATGCAAGCCACGACGACATAATATATCTTTAGCATAGCATTAAACACTATACTTCCACCACAAAAGATCTCCCAATCTCTCATCTGTAGTCTACTAAGTCTGCCGCTATTTCTATTAATTAAACATAAGCAAGGCAACTCTTACATTCTCGACTTTTGCTAACACCTTAATCTCGCCGCCCTTTAAGTCTACGCCCGCTATATACATCGCTTGAACATCAATAACCTGTCTTAAGATCCTTTTAAAGGATATATTTTAGGCGTTAAGAAGAGAACATAACACTGCGATCATCTTTAAGCTACTGGAATCCAAGGGCGTAGGGGCAGGATCAAGGCATGTAGACTAGTAAATCAAGCTTGTATGCAACATAGACTGCTGTCGCAGACAGTCTTCGCTTCCCCACCCCTTCCTAGTGAACTATGGTAGCAGGTATATTTCTATACTCCCTTCTGCTAGAAGGGTGGCGATGCCTCGTTAAGCATCGACGCACTACCGACAGTTACGGAGCCAAGCAATCTTGCTTCCTTTCTTTACTAAGACCGAGATTAGCGGAATTATATATATAGAAAGAATTATTATAATATAAGTTGTTAATAAGTCTTTTTGCCGATAATGATGCGCGACATTCAATGTAGGAAGATTCATCTCAAGAGGGTTGTGGTTAGCGATTAGCAGGGAAGCAAGGAGGAGGGGAAAATGTGGAGCGGAAGGAGGTGGAGGAGAAGGAAGCAACGAAGAATAGACCCTTCGATATTAGACATATAGGAAATTATGAAATAGAGTATCTAATGCTTCTACGAGATGTTTATTGCTCCTCCGCGGGAAAGTAAAACTAATCCTTTAATAAGCTTAACGTCTTTGCAAAGTACGTCTCTCTCGCATCATCACTCGTGAGTCACAACATCTCGCCTTACTCACTTACAAGATCAGGACTATTTTCAAGAGTGCGACGTGCCTCACGGGCGCCAAGATGCAATCTCATAAGTTGAAGGAAGACGTCGTTCTCAACCTTCTTCTACTCTACTAGGAGGGCAAGAGCACAAACTCGTGGATACCATCAAGGTTGTCTTCTCTTTCGCTCGAAGGGATTGCAAGTCAAATTCTCCTCAGGTTGGATGGAGTTTTCGAGTGGGTTAATACTATGAATGGCTAGATATGTGGTATGCGGAATTGTGACAGTCTACAACAGCTGAGAGGAAGACTTAAGGCTTTACCTAAGGACCTCGAGAATCTCTACGCGTGCATGCTGGATTAGATACATCCGACCTATAGAAGAGCAGCATCTATGTTCTTGCAGATTGCGCTCACAGGTAAGTGTATAGATGTCGACAGTGGCTCCGCCTTTAGGGACCGTGACTTATCCTTGTTCGCTTTTAGCCTCGCTCTACATAAGATCATGTCTGTCATTTGGGCAGCTGAGCACAAGACAGGCATTGCGCAGGTGAATTATTGACCTTCATGAAAACTATTATGCGAAAGATTGACCACAAGCACCGTGGTTTCCATGAAACACATCTGTCAGCCCGGTGGGGATCAAGATCGCTATATTAGGACCCAATCAAGCGTTTCAAGGCGCTACTCCATAGCAGACTAGTCAATTGCGTTTGGTTTACACTGGGCAAGAGGATATTCAATGTAAAAGAAAACTTCAGGCTTCAAAGAGATTGGAATCTACTGTCTTTCGCAGCACTATACAGTTTACGTCATAGTGTATGGTACGAGATTGGCCATCTTGTTACACCAATTAAGAAGAGCATAGCCACATTTCTATTATACTGCGCACTACTATCGATCCGGACTTGTGAAAGTTGGGGAGATCATTCTTTAGCATCCATCGTGGACAGCCTTTACCTTTTAGTGAAATTAGTTCGGAAACACAGAGCCAGTGTCAATGTCATTATACTTGTCAACAACGAACCCATTTTATGGTCTGTGTTCTTGTTACATATGCACTACATCTACTATGAGAACGCGAATGAGGGTGGTATGAAGAGGCAGAAGGCAGCAGAACCTTATGGGATGCTTTCGCGACAACGAAAGCAGCTTTATTGAAGAGATTTCCCATCTAGGCTGTAAAATCCCCGCCGAATTTGTTTTCTAGCTAGATTGCACACCGCTAGGGGCAAAGGGCGAAACTCTCTATTGTAGCTTTAACATACAATTAAACGCTGGATCAGTATTTCGACTATGTCTAAAGGATCGGCCAGAGATGTCCCGAACTAGGCAGATGTCCAACTCTTACATCTCCGACTCAATAGTAATATTGCAAACGTGGCTACAATTCCATAGTCCAATCAATTGAAGCATTGTATGAAATGGCAAATGTTTAGGTTCGATGGCTGCGTTCGTGCCAAAAGACGCTGTCGCTACAAATATCTTGCATCGCTTCGGGGGCTAGCTCATCAATTTTGTACGCACATTCGAACCTTCTGCACTCCCTGAGCTGCGTTTCAACTGTATCGCCTTAGCTCAGCAGTTTCTGAAGATTGTTATGGGACCCAGTCCGACGATTATGTCGCCTAACAACACGCTAGTATCCTCAACGCCTTCCATAGCATTAGATAGAAAAATACAGCTTGTTCTGGCATAGAATCAATTCCCTGAAGGCACCTAAAGGCGTGCGTTATCGGAACATAAAGCGATGACCTAATTTGATACTTCAATACACAGCAATGGCTACTTTCACATGGCTTTCGTCGACTGCTAGTCTATTCTTTCCAGGTTCACTGTTATCGCAACCCCTGGTGATCGGGATGTACGTGCAGGAGGTAGATGGATGTTTTTTTGGTATGCAAGTTAGAATATCACGTGATTGCGCGTCTGCCAAGCCCGCTGTAACACTAATACATATAGAGGATAGTGCACAGCTGCCAAGAGGAAAGCGCGAACGCGTTTTGACGCGTCACTTACTTCTCAGGGGGCAACGTAGACGCTCACAACTAAGCCGACATCATGCTTGGTCTACTCGACTTGCCTGTGGACGTCCTCAGGCGGATCGTTCAGCAGCTTGAACCTATAAAGCGCAACCATGTTGATACTATCGAAATTTCGCCAGGTCAGAAGCTCCCCGTGCATCTTTGGACATGTAGACAATGGTGTAGTATTGCATTGCAGGTGTACTACGACCAGCTCTCGAGAAGCGGTAATACAGCGCTGTACCTCGCTGCAAATCACCTAGCTACAATCCCGCCGCCCAATACGCCAGCAATCCATTTCCTGTGTAAGAATTTGCACAGGGTCTCTGTGCGGCTACAAGGCCAACCATCGCACGAGGTTGCAATGGAGCCTTTCTTCAATAACGGAAATCATGATGGACAGGATCAAGATGAGGTGACAGAAGATGACTCCACAGACGGTGACACATATTCGGAATCACCAGTCATGACTCAAATGGCCGCATCGTTCAACCAGACCAAACGGCAAAAGGCCAAATCGCTCAGCCAGACTCAGTGGCAAAAAGAGATGGCAGATGGCCTCGATACACTGTCTCAAACCATCTCGAGATGCTCGGCTCTGAAGGAAATCTCATTTCAGGCTTTCCATGGTTTTGATGAAGATCCAGCGCCGCAATGGAACTATCTATATTACTCAATTGCAAAAAGGTTCATGCAGAGTATGCTAGCTGGCCTTACTCATCTGAGCTTAGATCTTGCTGGCACCGATCTAGTGCCTAGCAATGGCTCTAAGACCAAGCACCTGTGCCCCGCAATACGAGACTGTATCTTTGGTGTGAAGCATGTCCGGCTTCGTCTACGTCATATCTGTCCTTCCATCTTCGGCGTCCAAGACATACAGTATCTGCGCAGACAAGCGGGAGTGGCACAGCCGAGCAAGAAGCGTGGTAAGAAGAAACAAAGCAATCAAGAGGCACCAATGACAACGGAGTCATCAACCGCGCCACCAGTCTCCCCAACCTATTCTAAAAGCGACGAGATCCGACTCAAATCCCTTACAATCCGCCTCTCTCTACCATGGTTCGAACAAGAGAGCGATAAATCCATCCTTTTCGACGCCGAACAATGCCCCGAGTGCGCACCCTTACCCAACGGACAACTCGGTCTCCACAACTACCTATCTCTCTGCGCCCACTGTTTCCAGCAAAAGCATTCTAGCATCGACAACATCAAGATTTCATACCGCCACCGAGAACCAGGACAACTCGGGACTGATTGCTACGCAATCGACTGCATAAAATGGGAAACCATATTCTCCAATGTGCCATGCTACGAAGATGATGGCGAGACCTGGGAAGATTGGGAGAACAACAAGGAGAAGCGGTGGGAAAATGTAGATGGTTCGGATCTGGAACTTGAGGAGGAGAGGGTCTCAGAGCCGCTGATGGATCCAAAAGAGATGCTCGACCTCGCCATGCAGCCGAAGAAGGCGCTACCGAGGGAATGGTTGCCGCCGCCTTGGAAATTGCGCAATGAGGATGACTGGGAAGATGAAGAAGACGACAGCGCCGAGGAAGGACTTGCTGCAGGGGGTTGGGATGGCGATATGTCTCCGACGCGCTTGGGCATTGGAGATCTGTTAGATCTGGAGATGCACGACATGATCTTTGGCGAGGATCACACGCCGTTTTGATGATGTCGAGGTGTTGTGCTAATTGTCTTTCAGAGACAATAATCTGGTTTCTAGAATAGCTGGTGAGGACATACATTCATGATTATGCCGCTGCCGGCCTTTTAGCTACCGCAAGCTTAGTTAAGATGTCGATGTTGCAGTACATTGGAAACTCGACGCGTCGCTGCAAAGGAGAGGCTAGAGGAAGATGTCGGTCTCGGGGTGGTCCAACCGGCGTTGTCGCCGTTCATTAGTGAACAGAAGCGCCCTGCGCATGCTGCTGTATTTCTTCACATGCTTTACGCATAAGTGTATTTTCCTAGAGCAAGGAGAAGCAGGGCATCTTAGTTGGCTTTCTTATACATGCTTGATAGACTCCCAACTACATCTGACCCTCAACGAGATGTTGTCTCCACATCATAGCGACAAACTCTACGTCACAGATCCTCGCATCCTTCCCCGGAAAGACATCACTGACAGCGCACCCTGCTCACCATCGAACCTCACATACTCTATCTCGGCTTCCGCCCACCCATCAATGTCCCAAACCCACGAGCGAACCCGTCGCTCACACAATACACAGCCGCGGGAAAGGTTGAATTCCCAAATCTGACATTTTCGCATTAAATTGAAATCTCAAGCTATTCCCCAAACCTGGACGTGCTTATCGACGCAACGCTGCCGTCGCCATACGTTTGTTTCCGCGCCATATCGACGCTCGTGTCATTATTCTAAGTCTCTAATTATCTCTAAGCGGTACTCGGATTTTTGCAGAAACAGCTAAGAAAGATGATTCATAGACGTGACATGATGTTGTAACAGCGGCTGCTACGGCGCCGAAACCTATTTCAGCAGTTTTGGCCGACTCTTTGATAGACTAAGCAGTCTCGAAGATAGCCTGTGTCGGTTAAACGTCGCATATTTCGTACTCTGCCTAATCAAAGATGTTCTGCGAGACCATGATGCAAGTTCTGTTGCTCTGATTCTCTATTTTTTGACCTGGTGATGCGCTCTAGGTTTAGAGGATGCGATAAACGGCAAAGCATTTGTTCATAATCACTGTGATGATGTTATACACCTGGTCCTGTAGACCTTAAAGAGTGGACTTTGGGGCGTTCCATAGCAATGTGCGTCAAAATAAGAAATGTAAACGAACTTAGCAGCGATGACATCGACAACCAATGCCGATCTTAAGACGTGTCGATATGGCCTAGTATCGATGAGAACGGTCCCAGCATTTTGACCGCTCCTCAGATTTATCCGGCTAAGTATTCGATCAAAGTATTCACTTCGAGTCGTATACCTATCTTTGGTCCTTTCCCGGGACTTTCGTGGACCCTACGGCGAGTTTGGAACAAGTAGGCTCTTTTGTTCGATTGTAAAGGAGCCATTTTGCTACTGTGCTAAGGTTTCTAGGACAATTGCAGGATGTAATACTAAGCAACGGCTATGCCACCTCACCGTAAATGTCTATTAAGCTATCCTGTACGCCCCACCCGTGACTCGAGATATCTGCTTGTTCTGGCTCCAAACTTATCCGCTCCATAAAGTTGAGAAGTGAGCCTAGTAAAGATTTCCACGGCTATAGAACACGAGGGAGGAGAGAACGAATATGTTATGCATTGAACATAAGGATTGCTCAAGTCTTGAAGAACTCTGCTACACTCATTGAGGTTGCGTTAATGATCTTCGGCCACCGGCTCGAGATACCATGAGTTAAAATGGGTATCGCGAAGCGTAATGCAGGTCTAATACTAAAATATATGCCACGTGGTGAGTAAGTGGCTCCGAAGGTGTTAAGGAATGATGGTCGCTGCCGAGCGTGTTGGAGGGTGGACTTGTACGGCTATTTGCTGCTAACGTTATGGTGTGGACGCCATGCAGGAATGGGCTGATCATGATTACCCAAAACGAGGCAACCTTCGCCTACTAGACCAATCACCCAATTCAAACCTCTCATGATCAGCGCATGAATACGAAGTCAATGTGGAGAACGAGGTCACACACCAGCATGAAACCCCACAAAACGATGCCCATAAAAGAACCATCTTCATCTGCCCGTTCCCACATCTTATCCTCGTTCGAACGACTACAACTTCCTCCATTTCATAACAACAGCCTCCTCAGAGCCATCAACATGCTCCTCGTACGCATCATCCCCTTCCTCACTCTCCTCGCTCCCGCCCTCGCCTCCAAACCCATCTTCTGCACCGTCAGCGCAGACAGCTGTGGCCCCTCCTCCAGCTGCATCCCAGGGAACTGCGGTGGTCTCTGTGTCACCATAACATCGCAGGGTACCAAATCCTGCCCCTCACCCTCCCCCCCCCTCCCCTAGTACATCCATATCACTCTCCCCCCATACCGCCCCTCCCCAACGCTGAGGACTCTACCCTAACCCTAAACATCTATGCACAAATCACAACCCCCGACTCCTTACTCCAGTAAATGCTAACTCCCCACACCCACCCAACAGGTCCATACACATCCATCCCCCCCGACACCACCGCCCCCCCAGTCTCCAGTCCAATCACCAACCCATGCGGCGAACCCTGCCCGACCAAACATTGCGTCCAGACTCACAAGAAAGGGGGGTTGGCGGGGAGGTAAGGTCGGATAAGGGATGTGAGCATGAATCCCCCACGCCGTTGGGCGGGAGCATCACGTGTAGCCAGACGGAGGTTTGTAGGGGCCAGTGCATTAGAACTGCGTGATAAAAGGGGAGGGAGGAGGAGGAGGGGGAGGGGAAGGGGAAGGGAGGGTCATGGCGAGGTTTATGTTGGGCGAGTTGGCTCGTGGGCTTGTGAGGAGGGAGAGGTGCCATTCGCTTTTCATACAGACGATTTTAATGGATCTGCGTTCATGGCATAATTAATCTCAACAGCTTCATTAATAGCACCAATGTAGACTGCCACTAGAACTGCATACTCTCATTCAGTAAGATGTTTCCGGCTCTTCGGACTTACTTCTATACATCCGAAGAGCTAGGATAGATCATGAATATTGAGCTTTCAAGTTTTGACGCTAAGATAGAGACGTCAAAGTACTAAGTCAATTACATGCTAAGCCACAACGTAGAAGCTGACTTCGAGGCGAAATTTAGGATCACGATCATTGATGCGAAGGAAATGTTCACTACCAGGACTCTTCTAAGGGAGACCGCGTCCTGAGCCTATGTCGTCAGGATGAATTTTGCGATCTGCTGAATCCACGATCTTCCTGGAGATGGATGTAGTGCATAGATACTCGACCAAGTAGCACGTAATACATCTCATTCACAGTCTGCAGCTACGGCTCAATATTCCAACTCTACCAGAAATCACACAAATCGCGTCGTGCCAATCTTGGAGTCGTAGGCAATAAATCATAGCTTGTTCTAGCGGGTCTCGCTCATTCAACATTGATTATTGATCCATCCTCAGTGGAGATGGAACCTCAAAGTATGAGTACCTCAGTGCCACATCATCATCCCGTCGCTTTGGTCATGCGCTCTCACACTGATTTCCAGGATATTTGCTGCGTCGAGACAATGCTCAGAAGTTGGGAATCAGGCACCGCCGTTGTAACGACGGCTAAACATGTTATCTGGTCGCCTTCTCTCTGTCCTGTCCCTAACTCGGCTGGGCTGGTCCTGGGGTGTCTTCACAAGGACGATCACAACCGAAGGAGCAACAGCGCCAGTCGCCGCAGAATGCACCATACAAACCCCATCATGGGTCTACCCATTTCAGTACTCCGCCTGCGACTCTTGCGAAGCCTTCATAGTCACCAATGTCTCGGAACCTGTCACATCCACCACTGTTGAATATGGCACAACAAGTCAATACATTGCGCCTTTCTGGGAATGGGAGTTCTACGACAAAAAGGTCGTCACAAAGCTCGTCAATGGCCCTCATACCATGGGCTCCGAGCATCAGACTTGGTCGGCAGAATCTCCTCAGCTCGTCAGCGGGCCAGCCAACAAGGCTGATAGCGGGTACACCTACCGCCTCTACAAGCACGTCATCACGTACATTGTGAAGAAAACAAATAGAAGGGCGGAGATACAAGTCACAATCAAGAGCACATCTACAATGACCCAGACCTTACCCGAGCCTGGCGCTTCCTTGAAGACGAAGCAGTTGGTCAGTCTTAATAATGTCGTTCCTGCGAAAGAGACTGGGAGAGCCGAACTTCAGAAGAGACCGGAGACCGTGGGCCAACAAGATCTACAAGGCTCAGCTGAGACTGGCGTCCCACCGCCAGAAAAAGGAGGAGCACCAGCCCAGCCAGTCGCTGAGAACAAGGCAGGAGCGGAGTTTGGGAATCCCCAAGGCCAACCCCAGCCTGCAGCAGGAAAGATCGGAGAAGAAGTGCCTACAGTGGAAGAAAGCGAGATTGCGCAGGAATATCCACCAGTTCGCCCCTACGCAGGTGAAGCAGCCGTACCGGCGAGTCCTCTTGCACCGCCGTCTGCAGCAAAAGTCACGCAAGCGGTAAAAGGACCCGATGGAGAAGAGATTGTGTATGAAGTCAAAGGAGAAGAAATGGTATATGAATCCAAAGGTTAAAACGTTATATATGAAGTCAAAGAAGGCTCGCCTGGCGCAATCAACTATCCTGGGGTAAAGCCACAACGGCAGCGCAAGGACCCAATGGAGAGAACAATGTATATGAAGTCTATGAAGGGTCGCTTGGCAGTGCTCAAGCTTGTCAGCCAGGCTTTCTCTGGGCGGGTGAAGTGAATTCTGCAGCGAAAGTGACCACAGCGATAGCAGGACTCAATGGAGTAGAGATCACATACGAGGTCAAAGGGGGTTCTTCTGGTGGCAGTCCTGCACCGGTAGACCAACAGATGGAGGGTCTCCAGATAGCAACCCCAGGATAGGTGCAGTGCCGATGCCTCCAGCTTCAGAGCAAGATACTGGCCCCCCGAATCAACAAGACTCGCCCGAAAACGTCCCTGCTGAGAATGGAGGTACGCCCAATAATGGACCAGGTCAGGATCTACCAATACAGGCCCAAGTCAGTACTCTTGTCGACTATCCTTCACCTGATGCTAGTTATCCTCCGGAAGGTCAAACACAGCCTCCTGTCATATACAGTACGATTATCTATCCTCTGCCTGATAACGACAGTCTTCCTGAGCCCAGTGCGCCTACTGCAGAACATTCGGCAAATGATGCAGTACCGTCTGGCTTGCCGTCCACAAACCTAGAGGGCTCAACATTAGTAGGGCCCGCAAGTGTTGGCCTCGAGTCTTCCCCATCTGCTTCCGATTGTGATCTCTCTACCAATGTGGGACCTCATTCTGGTACTTCTATGGTTCCTCCAGCGCCTTCCAGGTCTGCTGCAATTACTCAGAGCAATGCGAATCTTGCTTCTAAGTCCTCTTTCATGCTTTTGGGCGACGAGACTTCTTCCTCCCCAAGCGCAATTTCAATGGCCTCCATTGTTACTACCCCGACCCTGCCTCTGGGCCAAAACCGTCCATCGATCCGCACAGATCTTTATTATCTTCATCAATCTCACGCGAGCATTCTTTCTTGGCCTTGGATTTCTAAGTAAAAAGTCTCTTCTTAAGAACCGGCACAACTAGACAAGGCTCATCAGTACCTGTTAGAACCGCTATATCGCTCTCAACATTCTCCAATTACCAGGGTTACTTATCCCACTTTGGTCTCAATATCTACCCCGCGGCTCACAAGCTCAAGTGTCTCACGATATACTGCCCTTTCAACAGATAAGTCAAGCATCTCCTCAAGTGAGACTGCTTTTTCTGCCCACAAGTCCATCGTAATGGGCCGGAGTCGTCGAGTCCTGCTTAATACTTATCGTAGAATTGAAAGAGGGGAGAGGTACATGTATGCCCAGTTCACGAGATTTTGGCGATGCGATGTTCTGCGAGAGTACCATGATGCAGCGCTTGAACTGTCTAAAGCAACTGATTATTGCGAAACTACTTCCAATCAAGACAGGTAATCACTTGGGCAGCGTCTCTTTATTTTTTTTACTGATACGAACGAGTGATACTTGAGAAGTGAGGTATTTAACACAACCCGCAAGTCAGTATAACACAAGCTAGAAGTACATTTCGAAACTGCGCTTCCAAAGCCACGAAATATCTTACATGTCGAATGTCCGCTTCAACAGCCACGCGATGTTTCTAGAACACGTCAGGAGTCAGCTACAATCCACATGTTGCAGAGACTGTTCCGAATATAGCTGCAATGCCAGCACCCCATGCCCCAAAAGCTGAAGTGACGGCGGCTGCAAGTGGCAGACCTTTAGAGCAAAATCCGTTCTCCACTTGTTCGACGGTCACAATGACTTGGATAGTAGCCTCCATAATATTGGGAGCGGAAAAAAACCCTATATCAATTTCTTGGGGTGCTTTCGATGTTTTGCATTGCTGCATGGATACTTTTGGCCCGCCCATGTAATCACTGGGCCCAGTAATTGCAGAGTATTCTGTAGTTTGCGAATCGATCACACCATCGGCGGAATATGTCGCCTTCACCGCTTCAACGATACCATTGCGCAACCATGGGGGGTAATGTCCTGTGGCGCTGATTTTCAAGACGTCGGATTCGGGTTGAACGTCTCCAGGATCCACATACTTCACATCAGTGGTCCAGGGCTCACTTGTCACGCACGAGCCCGAGGTCTTGCATATATCACCAATATGATCCAGAGTTTGAATAACATCGATGTCGCAACCCCACCATATGGTTGAGTCGCTAAGAGTCACGCTGGTAGATGCACCGTCACGTTTAACTTTGCGGAATTTGTGAAGCTGATTGTAGGCGTCGGTCCCGGGCTCTTGGCCTTCCTTGAAGCGAACTTTGAGCTTGCCATTGTCGTCATGATATGTCTCACAATTGACCGCGTTCTCGCAACGACTAACTACATCGCTGTTGGGAGGCGCACGGGACAGAAGCGGCCCGGCAATAGCCACGGAGGCGAAGAGGGCACAAGAGAGGTATTTCATAGCGGAGAATATGGATTGTCTGAACAAGAGATGAAGGGACGTGGTATGATCTTTCTCTATTGAGGAACTTGGAAACTTGTTGGAGGAGTAGTGACTTAGTAGGGAGACATATGAACAGGAAGTGACGGTATTTTTATATCTTCAATGGCTTACTCTGTCGTCGAACCCCTTTTGCTGCGCCTCATGTGCGGTCTACAGCAGAATACAGTACATTATCCCCTTAGAATTAGACTACTTTTAGTATGGTTTTCGATGCAGGCAGTCTCCTGAACAGAATTACGATTTGTCGATATTCGAGGATCATAACGCCAGCTAAAGCGTCCATGACGATGGAGCGCGAGAATGCTGTGGCACAGCACCTGGAGAGAATTTTGGGAAAGAGTGGCACTGCCACTTGGCGTATGCAAACTTCGATAACACTATGACGATCACATACTCCGCTGGAAACAGGTGTTTAGGATCCTACAACCGATTTGAAGGCTGCTTCAGGCAACGAGCATTTCATCATACAACGCCGCAAAACAAATTAAGAAGCCTGACATCACATCGTCGTCGTGGTGTTTTCGCGAAACCGCTGATCTATGCGGCTCCGTTCTCGTTGCGCAGATCATTGCTTTTAAACGCTGACATCGAACGCTACGCTGCAGCCAAAGAGCCCGAAAAGATATTCTTAGCACCTGTGTCTTGTGTGATCCCGAGTCATCACCTGCAGACTTACGTAGGCTACATCAATCGTGTCTACGAGATTTGACCCATCTGCGCCACAAAGCTGCATATGCTTGGCAAAGAGTATTCTTCCCAGTTTTCACGGAGACAATCTTCTTTTCAGGACTATTTGCTTTCTCTTTATGCGAAGTAGGCTAATGCTGACCAGTGCCGAGAATGAATTGATCTTTGATGTCAGGAGTGGCGTCTTTCGCCGCATTTCGACAAGCATCTTTCATTGTTCCTCTTGCAAGTGTGCGCTCCAGATCGCGCCTTTGCCCTTGCGCCGTAGATGGGGAAGGGGAATATTTGATTGGGCCTGTCGGAGATTTACAGTATGCAAATGATCTCGTGGGGCTAGCGCTTTCGAACCTGTCATCCTCCACTTTTTCTCAAAGTGTACTTTTTCAATATCTTAAATACTTCGAACAGCCTAGCTATTACTATTCGAGGAGACTACGAGTTGGCCCATGACGTCTTAATTTCTAAGACTGGAAGCCAGTTCTTGAGCGTCGCTATGGAACGATGCAGGTGAGTTGATTGCATGCGAGAATATACTAGTAAAGATGATGAGGGAGCAGCGTGAGAAGAACGATGACATGCTCACGTTGACATACATGGGCAACACAGCATCTCACATTGTCTCAGCAGCTACGAACACATCTTTAGCTGTCTTCTCGAACATACTCCTAATCCTGGTGAAAACCTTAGAGTGTTAGCAGCAGATCATGACCGAGGTGCTTGAAGTGTACGGAGGTGCAATGCCCAAGGCGACCGACATGTCCAGCTGGAAGTATGCAGAGGCATTTTAGAACGACGTAAATTGCCCCATTTGCAGAAAAGAAGTGCACTCAAGGCTGAAAGACTTCTACTAGGTTCATCGTTGGCGACCGGTCGCCCCACAAGCAATCTCTCATGCTCCGTCACAAGACGATTTCTATAATTGCCAACAATGCGCATAGAAGACAATGACAATAGCAATGGCCATAATGCGCTTTATACTTTTGTAAAATATGCTGCTGCTAGAAAGACCTTAACAAAGGCCTGTCCTTGAAATGCAAATTCCATTGTTCTTCCACGACTTTACGACAAAGTTTTATTCTAATGTTCAATAATTGCCTTCTACTAGCATATATGCTAATTGATACAAGAACCGCTCGCAGTTGTCGCATAAACGCAGCAAATCTGCATTCCCTAAACAAAGACTGATTCACAACTATACTCAGCTTAACATATTGTTACTATTCAATCTAACCAAAGATGTCAGCAATCTTCCTAAAGCACTTCGAATACTATCTAACCGGCCTATCAGGCGCAGCGTCTTCAGCCTGGGTTCACCTCCTCGCGTCAATCGTTACGGTGCTTATCGCAGCGTTCGTGTCTATACATGTTGCAGCCGGTAACGTCTGGGAGTCACCTATGGTCCAGACGGCCTTCACCTATGTACAGTCCGTGATTGGCCCAGCTATAGATGCGACGCTAACGAAACTCTCAAAATGGTTCTTAAAGCTCGGGAGACTGGCCGGAGACGCCACCTCCGCAGAACAAGCCGCCAAGTACGAAGAACTTTCTGCAACAGATCGCGCCATACGCGCGGAAGCCAGATTAAAAAGAGCAGTAGAGAAGCTCGCAGCCGTTCGCGCCGAGTGCGAGCGCGTTGTCGCAACTGTTTGCGCCGAGTCCGAACGCGTGAAGGCAGAGAAGGACAGGAAAGCGGTTACCGAGCAAGCCTTTCTCGATGCAGATCCTGTCGCCGCCATTCGACTCCAGTTCATGAACATAGGCGTGGAGAAAGCTCGGAAGGAATTGTTGGCTAAGAAATCACCTACCGCGCCTTTGAGCTGAGAATTGCTCTAGGTTCCGGAGACTATGTAGTATAACTTATCCTAAATCATACCGCTCTCCTCTCCGACTCCAATCACGCGCGCCGCCTAGAGATCTGTCTCTTCGCTGGCGCTGTTTTGGAGCTGAAGCAAAGGGCAAGGCTATGTGGCATGCCTGACGTCGAGCAGTAAATTGCTCCGTTAGGAGGTTGCCTTTCGGCCCTGTTGGATAGAGAATGGGGCTGGTGAGGAGCTGCGTATAGTACATATATATCATGGATTCAGGTTGGCTGTAATAGAGAGGTCGTTAGATTACTTGTTTACTGACTTAATGTTTTACTAAATGTTCTTTAATTTTTGCCTTTTGTAAAGAGGTTAAACCGCTGGCCGTGTCTTGTACAGCTGCGGCAGTAACCTCAGGGGATGAAGTGCCTTGATCCAAGGAACACCTTTCTATCGCTCTTTCTGAAATAGATGTTTGGACGTTATAACGACTTCGTTGTTGCTTCTCTGAAGCAGAAGACGGTGCAGGTCACCGGGTATAACGAAAGTGTACGTTGTCTACTATCTCTTTGTGAGAGACCTAAAGTGATACAGCTACACCACCACTATGACGCAGGTAGAATTCTTAAGGATATACTTAATCAGCTGGTGTCACTCCTAACTCAGGACAATCCTTGGCATCAAAGTAGCAATAGCTGTCTTGTATCTTTACTATGGCTGACGTCAGTTGAACAGCGTCAGGCTAATTGCCATGGAAGCATTACGGGTATCTATATGCCAGGTCGTACCAATATCTGATGTGTACATCGGGCTATGTTCAGCGTTGTAACATTCCACGTATATACCGTAGTCGGGTACGGCGCTGCTGAGAGTAATGACGGTATCTCGGTAGATATGTTGAGGTATGATACCAGTCCCGTTGCAGTGGCATTCGGTATTGGCCCACCGCTGATAGGGAGGCTCTTTCATGTCTGGAGGTGGCACACGGTCAGCCTATCAAGACATTCAACACGAAATATTGATGTTCATGTCCTCACCCATCGAACGGCCGTCAGAGCTGAGATTCTCGGTAAGGATACTGAGTTCCTGGTCGGAATTATCCCAATCTACATAGGTAATGTTAGAAGACGTCGTCAATAATCCATATTCAGACAGACATTTGAGTCTTAGCATGTCTCTTATGTTAACGACATTTGTCGGAAGTGCGACAAAGCTCTGATTATCCTGGTAATAGCTCTCAAGAAGGCACCATTGACTCCCTTAGCAGAGCAAATGTCGCTAGGCCTAGGTTTCGTCAGGATATCACCCTGACTTGGAGTAAATCGCTCACCCCTTAGTAACTGACGGGTAGAGATACGCAGCAAGCAAAACTTGGAATTCTTGGGTTACAGGGTTGATGTCTAATGGGTCTGAAATATTCCGCGCAAGACAAGCATTGCAGATTGCTTGTTGATAGCTGGAAAACTCCATGATTTTGTTCCAGTTGTTTTCAATACTCACAGAGTTGTCTAGAGCTGAGTTGATTACACGAACTCCGTGCACTCCATCTAGTTTGGTCGGCACCTCCAAATTGGTGACCAGGTCCGAGATGTACGCTCCTGAAGCCTTATTGCCTATAGCTCACCAAGCATCACCTATGTTACCGTGACCAGGTGGGAAAGGATCGGGACAAGTCGATTTGCAGCCGTCGTCGGCTACAATCTTTGGAAAAAGCAGAGTAAGGCAAATGGTACCAATTAGAAGCCTTGGGACTGTCATGGTGTACTGTTGAAATCGGGATCAAAGTCATGGCTAGTGGACAGGAGGGACTGCGCAAGCTTTAAGAAACTCTAAAGATTTCTAGACAATGATTCCTGTACTCTGGCTACGGACAATCATAGGACAAAATTTCTTTTATGGACCTATCAGATGAACCCGATCATACGTCCTCTACCAGATAAACGAGTGTAATATCTACCTACCAACCACTCACAATCTTCCCTGCCCCTACCATCTCCCAGAGAACGGCCTCTTTTTACTCAAGCCAACGTAAGACAGGCTTACTAATTGCACTTGCAGTTCGAGCAGCCTCTCCCATTGCACCTCTGAACAATCACCCATTGGGGACCACCTGCAGTCTTAGAGCACTGGAGCTAAAAGAGAGTATTAGCAACTTTCTCGTTGGATTAGAAGTTGCTTTTCCGGTCTGGTGGACATACGACATTCCCATCAGCACCTGGCCCACATCCCTTGTCACCGACATTGCCGGCGGCACAAGGGTCTCCAGAATGGTGGCCGCCGTCGCAGGCTGCTGCGGCGCTGGTGGCCAACGCGGCAATGCTCAAGGCCGTAAGGATGGAGAAACGCATGATTCTTTTTGGTTGGGTTGGATTGCTGATGTCGTCGAGGGTGGTAGGATAAGTGCGTGTGAGGATAATCCTAGTTGTAGATATTGTTCGGTGCTTTGAATCTTCTGCTCAGGGATTGTGTGTAAATGTTGCTGGGAATCTGTCGTTGAGAGGTGAGATGAGGGGCTTTATATATTGCTACAGAGCATGCCCACCACCTGCCATGGGTCTTAATGCCTGTCTTGCGAGTCTTGCGAGCACACACGACTGTTGACACTTGCAATCTCGTATTAGAATTGATGTAACTTTGACAATCCGGCTCCGCAACACAGCGGCGACTGACGCACGGACTGCGATGGTGTTTCTTGCGAAGGATCCGTGCTTGCGAGAAACGTGGTATTTACTAAAGACTACTGCTTTGTATTTGACTGCTCCGAGGTTTTTCTTGCGAGGGACGTTCGGTCTGTCATTTAGTCTGCCTATGAACGCATGTGCGCAAGTGTGGTACCAACTCATAAGGGGTAGAATTGGTGCTTGCGAAAACTTGCATATGCGGCCCTTTTCTAGCTTCATATTGCGATATGCAGCCTACCGTCAAGAAAGGTCTCTTGCGAAAGATCTACGCTTGCGAGGATAATGTTTACTAGAGTCTATTGCTATGCATTGGACTTCTTCGAGGTCTTTCTTGCGAAAGATGTTCGGCTTATCATGCTTGATGGTTGGTGCATGCGAGATGCAGTGGAGATGCTATGGATCCTGTTTCGTAACACCAATAGGAAGATGCGTCGGGCACCACGGGTCCCCTGTCGGGCTCCGCCTTCCCCTCCCTTCCCCGCAAAAAGTAACCCTATTGGCGCTGCAGTACGACCGGCGTGCATGAGCCAAGCTCAGCTAAGCTCTGTTAGCTTCGTCTTGCGAGAAACATGTGCCTGTCTCATCGGTTAGGGTTGATTGATCGTGTTTCCGCCTCGCAAGCCACAGTCCTTGAGAAGAAGAAATTCGTTGTTTTAAATATTGTTAGAATATTCAATTCGCCAAGCTATTGAAAGCCGGTCCTAGCTGAAAGAGCAATTCATTGCTGTCATCAAAAAGACTACAATCTATTCACCATCAGGTGATTCTTGCGAGAGACTAGTCGGATTCTGTCGTCTTTCCCTTTTTCACTCTTCCGACTTTGAAACTACCGTCCAAAGCAAGTTGCTAGATATTCCATTGGCTGACTTTCAGGGTCATTGCATTAGCCAGCCTTGTACTGAAGCCTTTCGCGCCATTTTACTCAAGTTTGGCATTGGGCGAATTTGGCCCCATTACTCCGGATGTATGTCTCGATGCGTATATCACATTCACCGTTGGCATAGCAGGTATAAACACGAGTAAGGGTCTCCACTTTTTGCGTACTGCTTTCATCCGTACACTAACCACATAAAAGAGTTGGACTAGGCATCCCATTCTTTATGACTTATTAGCGTTGACCTCAGAATATCGTGTGCGGAACACCCGTTTAACTTTACGCGGATCACAATTGTCTAACTCATCAATCGTCGCTGGTCGGCTTTAGAAGCTAGCCACCTTGGTTAGGACTAGTGCATATCACTTGTGCTAAAGGCCTATCCTATCACTACCTCCACTAGGACCAGCAGTATGACCACGAACATGACAGCGTCTAGCCGAAACCCTAGACCTGCTGAAAATTAGATATCTCTAGGATTCGACTAGCTAGCTTACCACCGTACAGTCTTAGATGTATATCTCTGGCGAGGAAGGCACAGCAGCGCGCTTGATCCGTCGTTGAGATATGAAGAAGTGATGCGGAGATTGAAGGAAAAATAGCGTACCATGTTGTGATCTTCGCTAGTTGCAGCTGCAGAGCCAACATCACCAAAGGACAATGTCCTTCCACGCTCAATCCAGCTAAATCCAACCCACATACTATCTCCAGCCAAGCCCCAATCGCCGCACCATTCCTCTTTCCTCCCGAATCATCAAAAGATTCACACCCGATACCATGTCCGTCTTCGCACCCTCTACATCATCGAAGCTTTCATCGATCCTACATCCGTTGCCCTCAACGCGGAGATCGAGATGGCGGCGAACCCGAAGAGCGCGTTTGGGGTCCAATGGGATGACAAGAACGTTTCGTGCGATGGTGAGATTTGGCTGTTCATACCGCCTATACGCTGACCACTGCTGGGGTTGTTGATGCGCAGATCTGTCCCCTTGCTATATTTCCGTGTTCCTGTTGGGTTAGGATTAGGAAGGTAATTTGTGAATCGGCGCAGAGGAGGCTTTGTTGTTGCTGTCGACTGTCCAAGATAACGTGAGGAGGGTTGAGGTCTTGACTTGAAGCTAGAGGATGGACTTGCACTGTGCTATTCGCGTATGTCTGCGACTGCTTCGCTCCATTCCAGATCACTAAGAAAGTGTCAGTGATTTTCGCAAAGGTCTCTCGGCGAATGTCAAGAGATATTATGATGTTCTTAAGACATCCATGACTATAGGCGATAGCTAAATAGATATGCCAGCCCGCGTCCAAGGAGCGACAAGGATTGGGTTTAATTGCCATCGGCGTATTACGCGAATCGGCGGTACGTAAATTTCGCCATGTGACTAATAACCTATAGAAAGCTTCAAAAGTATACTAGGCTATATGAGAGCGATTCATAGCGTATAACTAGGACCATAATAGGGGGTT